TATAGTCCGCTCATTTCATGCACGTATTGAGTTGGTGAAGTGCCAGTTTATTCATCATGCAGATTTCTCACTCATTTTGGTAATAAGCGCAGCAACTTGGCTCAGTGCAAAGCATATATAAAAAGACTGTTGATTTGGAAGTCTGCCTGTTATCCAAGCGCCGAAATGAACGTCACATGTTTTGAAGGAATGACGACAGGAATGAATAACCTTTGACAATGTTATTATGTCAGAGTTATTATCATTTGACCATGTAAATGATTTTCTACGTTTTTGCTAATACGACTTGTTGGTTTCATTAATCAAGCATGACCAACATCTTTCGTCCATTTTGCATATGGCTTGGCCTCAGTTCGAAGGACAGTAAATTTCATAAACATTCCTCATTCTCTCTTATGGTAGCGCAACTTAATCCTTCCGCCATGGTCTGTAATTGCAGGATCTATGTTGTAGACAAATTAAACTGAAGTGACATATGGAGCTTCGTATCACCCGATCCTCAGACCCTCGATATTCAACTGTCTCATAAGCCATCACATGCTGTTTCTGCTATTATTGTGACTCGAGAGTATACCTCCAGTCCGTATCGCCCTGCCATGCGTATTCGTCATTTTGTTTCTACCCACCATCTCGACGGAACATTGGAGATAGGTAAATAATAGCGGATGTGGATCAGTACAAATCCTTATTATTGTTCAACATAGAAACATACTTACTGCTTATTTATTTAGAACTGATCAGGCTTGTGCCGTTTAACGGCTTCTGGTCCAATGTCAAGGAAGCCTCAGATGCAACTTAAGTCTGGCTAGCTGTTGCTGCAATGCTGATGCCCTTTGCCGAGGAAAGATTGATCATTTTTATTAGATGTTCACGGCACGAAAAAAAAGCAGGAAATTTAATCAGAAAAATCAAAGAGTCATCAAAACATATTCTACGTTGAAACCAGTAGCTGTTTGTGAATGTGGTAATTTAATAATCTGACGGTAAAGCGACATCAGAAGGGATTTGTTCCATTGTCCTTCTCTTTACACGATTCTTGGCGTCGTTATTGCGCTGGTTTCGCTAGAGCACTTGTGCTAATTGATGAATCTCGCCATGCTGATCTCAAGAAAACTTCCGTTTCCTCATAATCTGCTGTTTATCTTTCTTTCCGGTTCGGGTACATATCTCTGCTGACTTGCAGGGACCAGGTATGCAGCAGTGCGTTCCGAACTCGTAGAAGTCATCATTTCTGCCGTGGCCTCGTTGCTGACAGTTATGCACATGTTTTCCGCCAGGCCGATTGAAATTAATCACATAATCATTAAATTTTCAGGGAACTCTAGACTCAGAGTAAGTCAATTAATCACTCAAAGAGAAGGGTACGCTAGGCACGCGCAGGAAAATTAGGACAATTAAGCAATTGCTTAATAACTGTGAATGAGCGCAGTGCTTACGCAGCGACGGAGGTGTATCAGTCACGAATATGGTAATTAGTTCTGCCAAATGGTGTCCTTAGTACCTCAGTCAGAGTTCGAAAGTCAGCCAGAAGTCAATCCTCTTTTGTTCATCTCACAGTGACATATTCGAAATGATTCACCGATGTGTATTATTAAAAGAGGTGATCTCATTCTGCGTGTGCTACCCATCGCCAGATATTTGCTCTGCAAATCTGTCACTCCTGAATGACGACATGGAAAAGAGGTAGAGGAGGAATGGTTGGCATTACGTTTACTTTGCACTTCGGTTGAATCTGGTTGAAATTCTGTGTGATGCAAAGTTTTTCGAAATACCTGCGATTTCCGTTGAGACAGATATTCACCCCAATGTTTCTTCGTGTCCTGGAAGAGCAATTTATAGAAGTAGATTGCACCCAGATTCTACAATAAAATTATGCTAGCCGCGGGTGAAGACTCACTGTTTCAAGGTCCAGGTGAAATATAGTTTATAATCCACTTTGTCAGGGAGCACTTTTTTATTCAACCTGTTGAGCGAGTGTCGTGAGTCACTGTTCAAAATCAAATGGGATGCGGGATTTTCAATCAGCGGAAAATGTCAACTAATATTCGACTGGTGAATGACAGCTTACTGCTGAGGACGACGGCAAACATTACTGAACCCATGATATGTTGGTGGGAGTCAAAGAATGAGGAAGTTCGACCTCGGATAATCAGGGCAAAAGGAAAATAATAAGAAACGTAGAACCACTTACAGTACCATAGATAATTATCAAATAGAAGTCTAATTCAGACAATCAATCGTGTCAGATCAGCCGCGTTGTTTAGACCTCCACAGAAGGTGTCGTACGGCCTTGAGCAGACACAGAAGAAACTCTGACATTCTTCAAAGTAGAAAGTTGTCAGTTGGATTTAGAAGCGCGCTGCACGAAATTTTCAACAGATCTATGTGGTATCAGTACCCGGGGACATAATCGAATAATGGTCAAGAACTGGCAACTGGTTGTTGAAAGAAGGATGTCTGAGATTTCTATCAGGAACAAGTTACAAATAAAGAAAGTAGAGGACGTACGGGAATAAACGATGTGGCATCAGTGGGCAAAGGAGGAAAGCGACGATTGGCAGGCCAGCTCGTAGGACAAATGGACGATCGATCGATTCAGCAATGGCCAGCTGATGCCCACTGGGCTACTAGCGTTCAAATGGAAGACCTCGGCTCAGAACGGACAATGATCTAACAGAACGTCTGGAAGCCAGAGACAACATATCGCACGAGACAGATGAGTTAGGGCATCAAAACAGAGCAATGATCAACTCGCTTAACCTCGAAGAACAATCACTGAAATTCTGTCGTTGTTCTCCGTGCTTACAACCAGCAGAAAAACAGGGGTTGCAAGATGCCGACCTGCCAATCATATGCATATCATTACCGTTGATGCTGACTACAACAGCAGAGCGTTTCCGGTTTGTGACGTCCGCTGAATTTGCAGTTATACAACGCGCCGGTTATGGCATGGCGAAAGAAAACATTTCTCTCCCATAAGATGCCTGTCACTACTTTGTTCCTCCATGTTGCCGCCTGGCCGACAATTCACACTTTTGACTCCTACATGAAAAGCTCATTTGCTGGCGTAATTTCTTTCGCTCAATTTGTTCATCTAACAGGCTAACCACTTTTTCTGAACATCCTCATCTATGGCGCAAATGTGTGGTAGTCTTTCGCAACACTATATAGTCTTTCGTTACACGGTCCTGCCATTTAACCCTCATTATGCGTCGAAGCCATCATTAATATTTTCAGTTCAACCATCGTTCTTGGTCTTTTGTTCGAACAGCTGCTTCCATGCCATACAGAATCACCAAGCTGACTGAGGCAAGGAACAGGAGGATTTTTATAAAAAATGTATAATCCTTCTCAGCTAAATGTTTGACAGGATACCAAGAATACTGAAAGCGAGTGAAATCCTCCCATTTAACTGTGATTAAATGATTCCACCGTTGCAAACTATCGAACCCAGAGCTTCCTTTGAGGCTGCAAGATCACAGTGTACGATAAGTTCCTCTCAATTTTTGAATCTCGAGCATTAAATCTTGGGCAAACCTTTGCACCTGTGTTTCATACCAAAGTCTTCAAGTAACAAACCCCCCTCTTCGTATAGAGAGAAGGACAATATTATCTATAAATAGTACTTTGAACTACGCCATCCCTTTAGAATGAGACCTTCGTTTTTCGCCGGGGATACACTTTTGCAGAAAAGATTGAGAAAAACGTTAATAAACGAAGGTGAAATCGCATCTCCCTGGGTAACTCCACATTTAGTAGAGAATCGTCCAAGTAGCTTTCATTAGATTTGACAGCAAATACGGTTCCAGCAAACGTCTTTTCCAAAATTGAAAGATATAATCAGATAACCCTTAGCATTTTAAAATTCTCTAAAGCACTGGAGATATACCGAAACGAATGCAGCTGCAAGTCGAGGACCAGGCAACCGGCATCGTCGACGTTGGTCAGTGATCGTGCGAAGAGTGAAAATTTGGTCAGGGCATAAATATCCCAAGCAGAAGACTGTTTAGTGGGGATTTATATCAATTGCCTGCCTCAACCGCATGGGGTAATCCAAGCTAACAGTTGCACATGAGCAAATGGTAGGGAAATACTACGAAATCCGCTGCTTGCCCGTACCCATTTAAACTTGGGACAATTATACCATGCTTCAGTTCTCCAGAGAAGCAAATTAAAGTCCATATTTTATGAAATAGGATATTAAACGTTTTGTAATCCGTTTCCTGCCATATTTGATAGCCTCCATGAAAATTTGACCTAAACTGCTGGCTTTGTTCAATTTGAGTTGCAACAAATCCTTCAGGACTTATATTTTTGTACGAGAATAGGAACCTGGTGATGTTTAGCTTATCCTTTAAGACATTCATTCTGACCTGTATATTTGGACACCCTTAAAATATTGAAAAAGAACGGACGGATTGAGTTCTCTGCTTACCTGTTAGACGTCGTATTTCCTGAATCATTGCTTATCACTCACCATTTCTCGCGGTCTTATCAATTTTCTCAATTTCATTATCCAATTAATGTTCTCTGTTTCTTATGTAGCTATGGTTGACTGAACGATCGAGAAGAGAATGAGTTGCTTTTGACGGAGCAGTAGGCTGCGCGCGCAAGTATATCTTCTTTGTCTGGTTCCTCCTCGCTCAAAGAAATAATGGCTTCTCCGTAACAAGATGAATTCAGCTACCGTTTCACCGACCCCAACTACATTTTCTGCGAAAGAAATGGCGTTTTCTCTGAAGCCTTTCTAGGCTTCATCGACGTTGCTAGTTCCAAAGTACACATTGAGGGTGTCACTAGAGTAGCTATATACCTTCTTTTGATAGGCCGGCCGTGCAGCCTCACCATATATTAGTTTTCGGACATCGAGAAGCTGACGTGCTTCAACCAGATGGCGTGGGTGCGAGATGGTTAATAATTTTAGACCAAACTCTGCTACAACCATATGGCGATCAGACCCAATAAATGCATCGCATCTGCTGCGAGCCTCAAGCAACGAGTTAGGTCATTTGCTTCTGATGAGGATGAGGTTCAGCGGGGACTTTAAACGTCAGCCAGGGAATGACCGAGTAGTGTTGTGGATTCGCCCAGTAGATAATACTGCTTGTCGTGCAACAGTTTAGTATGTGCGCGTCTTTGTCATTCGTGGCATCAATTCCGTGAAGGTAGAGTTCACCTGGCCACGTGCTACAGTGAGCGCCAACCTCCTCGTTAAGGTTGAATATGTCAAGTGCGATGTGTTGACGCGGTGTAGCATTAGTGAGAGAGATCATGCCAAGGTTTTGCGAGATTTACGACCACGCTATCATTGCCTCTTTATGGTCACAGTTCTTTAGGCTACTAGGTAGAATAGTTAAAGGAAGATATAGAAATTCCGAGAACCAGGGACCACACCAATAACGAATTAAACATTGCATGCCGACGTCCACTGATGTGTGAAGATGACTGATGTCCAAGCAATAAAAAACTTTCCCTTCATTTATAGACTTAAGCCGACCGTCAGTGGACTCAATCAGCCTAACCAATCAAACAGGAAAATGAGTACTTGGTATGGCGACTGATGACTCATTGGAGGTCGGAATTCACTCACAACGAAAAGATACAAGCAGTGAAAGAAAGAGGATGGGAGGAGGAAACAACCACAGTTCAAAGTGGCCATTTCGAAATTCAGCTAATATGCCAGAGAATGCCTAACCTCATCCTATCCTGTCAGAAGATCAGGTGTTGATCGACTACTGTTAAAGATCGATAAATCTGTGAGAAGGGCAGGGACGACGACGTCAGAAAAGCTGTTCACGTTGTTGGGAGTCAAGGTGATTGGGCTGTCAGACGGTTTGTTTACAGCCACTTCCGCTTCTGTGGTTTGCTGTCAGGCTTAAAAGGATAATTACCCACCCCGGTGCGTGTGGCTTCCTCTCGCACGCCGAGCTCCGTCGATAACCGGTCGATTAGAGCGATGCAGGGCGCGCGGCTAAATATTAATATTTGGTTTAATTATTTCCCTCAATTTTAGCCTCCTCGCGATAGCTAAAAGCTTAATAGAAATGTTTAATAGAGACGTGTCGTGCTGTGCATTCATCATACAGTCATTACGACGAACCGCAAATTGCGCGTGCGCGATCCAATCCAATCGGTTAGCCGTCGTCGTCACCGAAAGAACAGCTTTGGACACCGAGGTGGTCTCCGAAGCAAACTTTCTACACGTCGGCGACCTACCGGCCAGTCTATAGGTTTTTCAGCTGTAAACTCACCCGAATGCGTCGTCGCAATTAACTGCATTTATCTGACCGGAAGTATCAGTCCGCATATATGTAAATTACCACCGTTCAACGTCCCTCGCACACTCGTACAGTGCATATCAGCTCGGTGCGGACACCGAAGATTTATCTGTCACTCGCTGTCGCTGTAGACTCGTTAGTCAACCGTCGAACAGGAAGCAGTTTTAAGCATATCGTCACGCAACGGTCGTTAAATACCTTCTGACTCACAGTAGCCATCACCCTCTGTCTCTGTGTTGTCAGGGAGACTGTGAGGGAAATTGTCCATCTTCCTACTATCTGATCCGCTCTGAACATCAGTTGTCAGTGGTTCTTTGATTGGAAGCGATTTTGGTGACTTCTGCAAAATGATTATCGACAACTTCGAACGTGACGCCAGTGTTTCTTTTGCTGTGGCTTCCGTACAGCGCTGTAATCAAGGCATCAACCCAAATTTTAATTCTCCTAGAATTTGCCTGACGGTCTTAGACTGGTCATCTTGACTGACCGGTTGGAAGCGATTAGATAGATTGCACCGGTCATCGTGCTATCTGCCATCCTACCTCGTTCAGCCTTGAGTTTGACATAGCGGTCCTGATAAGGCATTATGCGCTCGTCGTCCATCACTGGTCAGTGAACGTAGCTACATGATTAGCCGCGATCGCATTTTGTTCTCCCCTCCAATATTCTTCTTACTTTCGTTTTCTCAGTAACAGACAGGTGATGTTCCCCCATTTTTGCAACGGCCATGCTTCACTGCCGTTGAACAGGGGACACTTGCCACCGGGACAAGAAGTCTGTTTAGAGTTCCTTAGGTGCCGGGTTCGAATATGAAGGCTAGTTCTGGTTCCAAAAGAAAGAACAATTTCTCTTAACCACTGATTCCCGTGAGC